CTTTCCACCTCAGCCACTTGAGTAGCTGGAACTATAGACATATACCACCATGGCTGGCTAATTTTTTTTAACCTTTTGTAGAGCTAAGATCTTTCTATGTTGCCTATGCTAATTTTCTTCTTATTTGAATAGTTTTCTAATTTCCTTTGTGCTTTGTCCTTTGAACCATCAATTATTTACAAGTTTGTTGTTTAAATTCAAAACATTTGCTTTTATAAATAACTTATTTTTACTGGTTTCTAATTTAATGCTGTTGTCAAAAATATTGTGAATATTTCAATATTTTGAAATGTATTCATTTTTAAATTGCATGGTGTATGGTCTATTCTATCTTAGTGATTGTTTCATTTTCACATAAAATATGCATACAATATCAAGTTGTAGAATTAGGCTAAGCTGGTTTATGACAGTTATTTATCTACTTCACAAATTTATTAAACAACTACTTTCTCAATTACTATCAAAAAATACTTGAGTTAAATGACAATGATTGTAGGATATAGTAAAATCAGTGGGATACAGCTAAAGCAGAGATATAGTTCACATTAAAAAATACTAGAAGTCTAAGAAGAAAATAAAAGCAACAAGTATTACAATCTAGAAAGATAGAATCATTAAGCCATAAGCAAATTGTTTATAGTTAATAATTTAAAATAAATTGCATAAGAATAATTTTTAACTATGTTAAAATACTTAAAAACAAAATATAGGATACATTTTTTGATAAAATATTAAATAATACAATAAATATTATAGGTAGAATATTACATAGTCAGAATTGCCTATGTAAAGAATATTATAGGCATATTAGGCAGAATATTATGAGAAGAAATAGAAAACTTGAAGTTATTAATAATCATTAATGAAGTTTATTTAGTCAGCTATCTCTCTGAATTGATAAGAAAATGTCAGAAAATTGAAAGGATTTATACGAGTTCCCATGGTATACTCACAAAAAGTTTTTAATGAAGTAAAGCATATAGTATGTTATAAGAAAGCAAATTCAAGAAATCAGAGAAAGACTTGATTGCCTCCAGGTCTATCTAGACTCCTTTCACAATCAAACAGGTCATGCTTCATTTTCACTTTAAGAACCAACAAGATATCTCTGAGGTATCTCAGTTTAATAGGAGCTCAAGTTTACAGAAGTATATTTTATACTTGATTACCATAACTAAAACCAGACTGTGTGATACATTAAACTGAGTGCATACCATGAATTTATATATCCCTAGACAGAATAGGTAAAGTAGTAAATGATAGCTTCAGGGGAACTTCAAACTTTAGATAGCACACTATAAATCATGAGTGAACATTTTAATACCTATATTTGCCATTTGTCAGTATCAAACTGATTATTTACTAAATGCAATTCTTCCTCTGGTTAGCAGATTCTATTGGCAGAATATTTTGTGAGAGTTTTAATCTAATCCTAATATATTTGGTCATGAATAACTCTGAAAAGTTTCTAATATCAGTTTTTATTTAATGTTTGTTATTAAGAGTATGCAGTTCAGTTAAAATATCTTAAAGTTTAGAAATAATTAAAATGAGGAGATGGTGGCCGGAGTGCGATTAGGAGTGGGAGAGGCGACTCATGGCCAAGTGGGCTGGAAGGTCTTGGAGCAAAGAGCTCAGACCAAGCATTCAGTTTGAGATTTTTGTGACCTAGCCTAGGATACTTATCACTAGAGTCAACAATTTGAAATGGCTAGCTCCTCTGATGCAATCACCTCCTCTCCACCGACTTTTCTTATGGTCTGGTTCAGTTTATGAACCACTTAAAAGCATTCATCTACTAAGACCTGATAATGAAACTCTCTGGGACAAATTAGATAACTATACAGAATTTTCTAGTCAACATTGCTGCTGTATCAAAGTCCAATGACTGGTCTTTTCCCCACTAAAACATGCAGTGGTGATCAGAAGGCAAAGATCCATGACAGCCTGTATTGTGCTGCCGGGGCCTTGACTTTGGTTCTTGCATACAGGTTCATTGAAGGACCCACAAGTTGTAACACTCAGCCATAAAGTGTATGAGAGGGATTCTCTACTGCTTTATGTGCCAGGCTGATAAGTTCTGTCAGTTTAAACAGGATCTGTGCCCAACAACATGCCTTCTCTCTGTTTTCAATGTTCATACAGAAGATGAATTATCTCCTATGAGGAATATAGTCATCTCCAGATAAATGCAGTATCACTCTATCTCCTTTCTCTTGTGGAAATTATTTCCTCAGGACTTCAGATTATCTCCAACACTGATGGAATCTCTTTTATTCAAAACCTTTATTTTGTGTAGAAAGAGTTTAGCGTGTGCCTGACTTTGGTATCTAGGAAAAGGAAGCAAATATAATGGCAGTTCAGAGCTACATTCAAACTCTGTTGACTTAGCAAAAGCAGCTCAGAAGCAGTTAATGGATTCATCTTTTTAGGAAACCGGGCTGTACTTGATCAGTTATATTTGTAGATTTCAATGTACACAGTCACAACAGGCAAACCTTGTGCCCACTGTTACCCAGAGAATCAAGATCACATAGCACAGATGCTGTCCTTCACCCCTGTATCAGTTATTTCACCTTTGCCATGGATGAAGACATTCTCCTTAGGCAGACACTTAATAAAGTGGTTAGAAAATTGAACAGAAAATATGGATTTAAGTGTTTCTTGACAGGTGAATATAGAACGTAACTGGAAGATTCCAATAGATGCTATTACAAACCAGCTGAAATTAAGTTATTTCATGGCATTGAATGTGAATTTCCCATATTTTTACTTACATGATGATTGATGGTGTTTTTAGGGGCAATCTCAAGCAAGTGAAGGAATATCAGGATTTTTTTGATATTCTTTGGTCTGTGTACTTCACCAGACCACAGAAGGATATCCCTTTGTACCAAAGTACTATTATATGGTAACTGACTTTGTAGAATATGAAAAAAAAAAAACCTAATAGGAAAAAGTGATTTCCCAGCAACCATGGCCATAATGGAAAACTATTTTTGTGGAGACAAGCCCTTATATCATTGCAAAACTCCTGGCTGATGAATTAATCCTAAAGACATTAATCATGTCAAGTGCTATGTTCCATACAGAATCAGCATAACATGAGCATGAAGTTTTCCAATCAAAGTCCACTGCAAGATGATTTGTGGTTCATGTAGCACTTGTAGCAGAAAGCCAGTGTCTTCTGGTTTTTCTCAATATATACGGTCTTCAAACTCAAACCCCTCAACAAGTAGAACCCATTCATATACAGCCTATTTCCAACTGGGTATCAATTAAAAGTTAGTATTCTCTGGAAGACCAGATAGCCCATTGGCTACCTCAGTACATCAACCATTTATCATATTCTAGGAAAGACTGTGGTTTTTTACCCAGTTATTTGACCTACGTGATTTTTACATGGCTCAAGTTGTTTTCTTGCTGATAGATGATATGAAGAATATTCTACAATTCATTAAGGAATATTGGAAAATGCATGGCTGCCTGCTTTTTCTTGTTCTTATCCAGAAAGACAATAAAAGAGGTAGAAGGTTCAACCCCATGTCAAATATGCAAGCAGCCTTTTAAAAAGGAGTGATTGGAGGAGCCAAAGTTCATGTTGATTGTCTACAGACACTAATATCTGGAGCTGTTTTAAAACAACCTGACTTCCTACAAAACTTCCAGAATCTAAGATTTTGAGGAACTAGAACTTACCAAACATTCAAAAGTTAAACATCAAAACAGTACCCTGATGCCCCTGAATTGGAACAGTGATCAGATATCAACATTACTGAAAGGAAAAACAAACCCACCCATGAATTCTTCAAAAACTGCACAACTGTAGTTATCTGGCTATGCAAGTAATTTTACTAGGTATATTACTATAAAGAGAAGGCCCCAACGTCCTCACAAAGGGAGGTACCATTTCTGATCATATTGAGAAAGTCTATAGAAGAGCTGGCAGCATTGGTCGGTTGTATGCTGTGTAGCAAGTAAAGTAGTGGACAGCTTGGCCCCATCCATTACTAATGTTTTAGTGCATGGCAAACAGGTCTGGGTGCCTTTGGGCATGAAAAAGAGGCTATCTCTAAACCTTTTGTCTCTGAGAGTGATTAAGAACTTCAGCTGTTTCAAGTATACAATCCATGATGAGAGGGGGAGTGATTACTAAGAAAGAACTGGTCATCTATATTGGCTGGATTATCTCCAGTAACCTTGAGTTATCTGGAGATATGCTGAAAATACAAATTGGGTGGATCATCCATGCTATGGAGTACACACTACAGATCTGAGGTAGAGACAAGTCAACCATGGGCTTATAACAAATGTCACTTAGTAAAGTTCAGCAACTTCTGTTGGATATTCTCCAGTCTCAACAGAATGGAAGATATTGGTTGAATAGGTGTCATATCGATGGGTCTTTGAATAAAACTCCCAGTAGGTTCTATGACTGGTTATGACAGATTCTGGAGTGTACACAAAATGATATCATTGTGGCAAAGAAGCATTTGCCACAGCAATCAACCCTGTCAGATATGATCATGTATGAGATGAGTTTGTCTCTCCTTGTTGAAGATATGTGGGAAATAGTGACAGCCAAAGTACAGACAGATCATTGTGGAGTTACTAATGGTAGTATTCATTGTACTGGAAGGAAACCCTGAGCTAGAATATCAAGAAAAGGCAGATCTAGACAAACTGGTAAAAGAAACATTTCATGAATTTCAAAAAAGATGAAGGTCAACTAAAGGAAATTGTAAAAGAAGACTTCCTTTTACAACATTCTCCACCTGGGTGGGGGCCGGGAATGAGCATGCAGTTATTTGACAGAGGCAATGATGAATTTATTGCTGGAAGGAGAAGTCAAGTTAAGTGATGACAGCCCCTGTCTGGTTAGTTAGTGAAAAAGGTATAAGAAACTCTGTCAAGACACATTTCCTAGAAATGTTTTGTGTTGCACCTTAATCAAAGAAGCCATTAATATATGAACTGATTATGCTGGTAAAGTGATTACAATGCCCTTGGCAGAGTTATTGGACCTTTTACATATCATAACCAATCTAATGGTAAGAGTAAATACTGTTCAACAAAAAAGTGTTCTCATGAATATGCCTACTACAATAATAATCTTCACTGAGTGGTAGAATTAGTTTAAGAGTTGAAAATTCACTACTGTGTGTTCTATGATTAAAGAGCTCATCAAAATGAATCTTTCCTTTTTGGACTGAAGTCTTATTGTTCTGCCATTAAAATGAATTTTCCAACTAATAATGCTTACAGGAAATCATAAGATGTTGAAAGAATAGTGAATTTTTTAGTGGCATTTTCATGCTAGAATAAGATGATTATAAAAGCAAAATCAGCTAGCTCATATCTTGATTCTCAAAAACTGCATTATTAATAATATTTTAGTATACAGAGCTACTGTATAATTTTTACCTTATAATCATGACTATTGTTTTGTATTTGTGTTAAGTATAGGGATTAGACTAAAAGAAATTATCTCTCTACTTTATTAAACATTTTTATTTGATCTTTAGAAAACAACATGTGAAGGATTGTTCAGAAGTATATTAAATTTAAGAACTGTTCACCTAGTTTTTAACAATGAAAAAAAATCATTAAATGTTATTTCTGAATAAAAAGAAATAATTATAGTTTATTTTGTATAAATTATGCAAGATTACTTAAGCAAATAATAGATTTGTTTTAAAAAACTACAAGGAAGATTATGAATACAAACCAAAAGTGACAAGCTACTCTACAGTTACATATAGTATTACATATGTACTAGAAATGAATAATCACTACATAATCATTTATAAGACATAACCATTGAGTTTTTATTTATTGAAAATTGTCTCTTCAATGTTTTAGAATTGTGATTTTTTTCATCAAGAAATCTAATTTTAATATATTTTAGAGGCACAAATACAATTATGTCCACCTCCACCTCAAATTCCCAATTCTCGGCATATGACAACCACATTGAATTATCAGGATGGAGAAAAAGTGTCTGTTTTCTGCCAAGAAAATTCTCTAATTCAGGGATCAAATGAAATAATATGCAAAGATGGTAGATGGCAGTCAATACCACAATGTAAAGGTCAGTAGTGTACAATTTTGTTGTAACATTCTTTCAAATGAGGTTAACACATCCCTGTGCTTTGTGTAAATAAAGAAAAAATTTTTTTTCTTTTTATCTATTAATTTATCCTGACACAATAAATTATGATCTAGGCACTTACATTAATCACCGTTTTCTTACTTATTTAAAAAAAATATAGCGCAAATCCTTGGAATGTTATGTAAATATCAGATAATATTTCTGTTTATGCATATTTTACTCCCCATGATAAACAGGGCATGAATAAGCAATGAATGAACATGAGAGTGGTAATATAGATATGGTTTTAGAATATCCAGGTTATATATATATGTATGTGTGTATATAAATATAATAAGAATATATAAAGATATATATCCCCACAAGTTTAAATATGTTTATGTTTTTAATATTATTTCTTCAAGTTATATATTTTAAAATCCTAACCAGTACTTTTTAAATATTTCAATTTAAATATTGTATTTGTTTTTGACTCTTTGACTTCTGTTCCTCATATAGAAAAAATTCCATGTTCTCAACCACCTCATATAGAACATGGAGCCATTAAATCCTCTAACTCTTCAGAAGAAAAGAGAGAAACAACTGAACCCAGGCTTTACAGACATGGTACTAAATTAAGTTATATTTGTGAAGATGGTTTCAGCATATCTGAAAAAAATGAAGTAACTTGTGACATGGGAAAATGGAATACTCCACCTCAGTGTGTAGGTGAGAACAATATGAAAACTCAATTTCTGCTTAGAATGGAAATCATTAAAAATAACCTATTATCAATTCAGGCAACAGAATAATTTTAATTACTATATAATAATAATCTATATATTATATCAATAAATATTTTTTTGCACTATTGAATCTATCTTATTTTTGTAAATTTCAATGTTTCATTATAGAATCACTTTTTATTCTGGCATTTCTTTTTTTAATGTAATATGTAGTGGAATTAAACCTACATGCTCATGAAAGTTGTTGTGTTTGCTTTGCCATTAAGTTTAAAAACTTTGTATATGTTCTAAAAATGTTCCTTCTGACTTCTTACAATATGTGATACTTTTCCTAGGATTTTTAGTCCTCAATGTATTTTCTTTTATCACTAATCATTGGTTAGATAAGTATTGGTTATCTCTTTCTTAAAGGTATTGACAATTTTAGTTTTCAGTTCTTACTCTGTGACAATTAGACAGATGAATGACACCAGAATATTGGTTTTAGGAAACATTTATGCACCTTCTCTGTGATATCATAGTAACTCGTGTTATTATTTATTTGCAAATAAAACTACTAAATATGAAAACTGGTACATAAAATTAAATTTCTGAATAAATGAAACATGAATTCATCTCTACATTTTTTTAGGACTTCCTTGTAGGTCACCGCTACCTGAGATACCTAATGGTTTTGCCCTGCACAGTTCAGACAGTTACCAATATGGAGAAGAAGTTATGTACAGATGTTCCCAAGGTTTTGGAATTGAAGGACCTTCATTTATAAAATGTCTAGGAGATAGATGGTCCCACCCACCAGAATGCATAAGTATAGTGTATTTAATTTTATTACATGTATAATAAATATCTTTAATTCAATGTATAAATAGTACAAAGAAAGTAAACTAACTCTACTATTTCACAAGGTATCTCTTGAAAGTTCTAAGTTGTTACAGAAAATTACAGCTCTTGTAATAAAAACGTTGAACATTTTATGTCAAATTACCTCATTTTCATATCGTCTTGTGTGAACTTTCAGCCTCTTCTGATACACATTCTCAGACTTCTTCTCTCCGTTTTTAAAGCATAGTCAGATCCTGTTTATGAATCTCTCATCTTTATTTAATTTTCTGTCAGTTTAATAAACTATCTCACTACAAATACATTTTCTGGAATATTTAAAGCAATTATAGGTATTTGCATTTTCCAGAAGCAAAAAATAGAAATACATGCATAATATAAGTGGCAAGTATGGACAAAATATAATTTGAATGCAAAATTTGTAAAAGCAAGTTCTGTTGCTACCATTACCCCTTCTAGCTTCTGATATTGCTCTCATTTTATATTTTTGATACTTTTAGAACAATTTGATGAAATGAAGTCAAAATTGCTAACAAATTTTGTTGTTATGAGAAAAATATTATACAGTATTCATTGTTCTATAGGTATCTAATATTTTAGAATAGAACTGTTGTATATAATTAATCTCTAAAGATTCTCAGGACAAGTAACATATTTTTTCTATTTCAGAAACAGATTGTGATAGCTTGCCCAGCTTTGATAATGTCACATTCATCGGACAGAAGAAGAATTCATATAGGTCAGGAGAACAAGTGGCATATACATGTCCAGAACATTACCAGTTGGTTGGATCAAATACTGTAACATGTGTTAATAGGAAATGGATAGGAAGGCCCACATGCAGAGGTACTTTGATGAAATTTAAAATTTATTAATTACAGTGTCTTAGGCAATAAAATATATATTGTCTCTAAGATCATTTAAACCCCATGTTTTAATTTATGTCCATCATAAATCTATTTTTTGGAGGACAAAGTAAGTACATGTCTAAAAGTAAAAAGATGGAATTGAGTATCTAATAGTTTATCTTATAGCTCAATACTTTTCAGTGTTTTGTGCCAGCATTATAATCATCATCTTTTGGGAAATTTAGAAATGCAAATGAAGGTTCCTGAGCTCATTCTAGACATAATGAATATTAAAAAAAAAACTCTAAGAATGGGACTCTGAGACTATTATACCTACCCCTCCAGGGGATTCATGCATACTTCAGTATGAGAAGCATTGCTATAGCCTGTTATTACTATACATGCACCTGAAGCCCTCTGATGAAGTGCACATTGTTCAGCATGGTATCCTTAAACCTCAGTACTTGAATTATTAAAAGTTAATTTTGTATTTACAAACTTATTTTTCTGATATTTTCTCACATGTTTAATTTGGAATCTTTTGATTGATCATCTTCCTCTTCTTTTAACTAGGATATATTTAAAAGTGTGTTCATTCTTGACTCATTCTTCAAGAAATGCCTCGTATTTATTCTTAAGAAGCTAACATTACAATAAGCAGGATGCTTGCAAACCAAAATCTGATGCCATATAATATATTTATTCTGATGTTTTTGCATTTTATGAATTTATAGAACTTGCAATATTTATTCTACTAAAATTCAAAAAGAAATGTCCAGGACCACGAAAACTTTAATTTTCATTGACTTCCAAAGGAAAAAAAAAAATAAAAAAAGGCAATCAGTGTTCTAGTAAGGGATGGAGAAGAGACTTTAAAATGAGAAAGCTTATATCTTATAAAAAATATTGTTTTATCTTCTTTCTCTCAATAGTACATACAAATTTACTGAAATCAACAAAAATTTTTATGATAGATTACCTATTGATTTTAAATCCCTCTTGAAAGATATTTGCAAACCTATTTGTGAAGTGCTACTCAAAATGAATACTAGGTAGAAATACTTTTTTTCTTTCTGTTCAGATGCTTCCTGTGTGAATCCACCCACAGTGAAAAATGCTAATATAATATCAAGACAGATGACTAAGTATCTACCTGGTGAAAGAGTACGTTATGAATGTATCAAACCTTATGACATGTTTGGGGAGGTAGAAGTGATGTGTCTAAATGGAAACTGGACAGAACCACCTCAATGTCAAGGTAGAGTTTTATATTTCCTTTACATTTTTTGAGGATATAGTAGAGGTAATATATGTTGATGCAAATGAAATGAAGTAATTCTTATAGAGTGTATTTATCAAATACAACTGAAATGATGGTGCTTAAAATTGAATTTGTGTGTGTGTGTGAACAAAGCCAACTTGGTATATTATTTTCAAGAAAGATTTGGTGGGATTAAAGGAAAAATCAGATTCTAAAAATAAATGCTTAAGCATTAAGACACTTAGTTTTTTCCTGGGGAATAAATGTATAAAAGATACATTATTCATACACCCCTAAGAGATATTCACTTTAAGATGTAGAGCAGGCAGTTGGAGATAAATCATAGAATGTGATACAAATTTAGGCACATTTAGCATATACATTATATTTAAAAGTATGTGACTGACTGAGCTAACTGGAGAACTACTATATTTTTAAAAGAAATATGAGCACATACATTGTATTACACAGTGTTGAGGTAATAAGTTAACAAGAAAATGTATTATCCAACTCCATTTTTGTCTGGTGATTTTCCATTGTTTAATTTTGAATCTACCTATATTTTTATGTTGAAGTGCATTTTTTGTAGACAGCATATACTTGGTTGAGTCTGTTTTACATATCTTTTCTGCCCTTTTTGTTTTCTAACTGGTATTCTTAGACCATTTATGTTTAAGGTCATTTTTGCTGTTAGGACTTACCTGTGAGGAATACTTTTAAAGAAACTTATTTTGATTCATTTTTATTTTTTGAGTATACTCTCTGTGTAGGTCTTTTGTCCCTTTTAAAAGATATTGTTTTTCTAGCCTCTCTCTCTCTCCCTCTCTTTCTCTCTCTGTCTCTCTTTCTGAGTGTGCATTATATATATAACATACATCAAACATAATTGGAAAACAATTAGAAAAATATAATCTATTATATTTACCACACTTTAAAAAAAATCAACTACATGGTTCTTTTTTACTTTCTGAAGTCTCAGTTTTCTAGTATCCTTTTATTTTAATTTGAAGAATTATTCTTTTTAGTTATTTTTTAAGGATAGGTATACTGGAGACAAATTTTCTTAGTTACTCTTTGGGAAGAGTACCCCTTTATTCCTAAAGGATATTGTCACCGGATGTAGAATTTGAAAATGACAGGTTTTTTTTTTTTATTTAGCACTTGAAAAATTTGCCATTTGCTTGTGTTCTCCATGGTTATAAATGAGTAACCCCCTGCTATTTGATTCCTTGATCCCTTAATGGAAAAGCATATTTTCTATCTAGGTGCTTTCAATAAAATTTTTTTAATTTAAGTATTTTTACTCTAATGTGTTGGCATGAATTTTAATGAGCTTATCCTGTTTGGAGTTTACTCAGCTTCTTATATAAGTAAGTTTATGCCTTATACTCAATTTGGGGAATTTTCAGCTATTATTATTGTTTTTATTTTTTTCAGTCTAATACCTCTTTCTGGAGGTTGATTTTTTTTTTCTTCTAAAGGTCTCTGAAGCTTAGTTAATTTTTTTTTGTTTTTAGTTTATTTTCATACTGGAGAAGATATTTTTCTATCTTAAAGTTCATAAACTTATCCTTCTGTCATCTCCCAATTTATTATCTATCCAGTGAGTTTTTAAAATTTCTGTTAGAATTTTCAGTTTCATATTTCTTACTGGGTTTTAAAACACTGTTGTAATTTTAACATCTATGTCATCTTGATGCTGTCTTTTGCTGATTGTCTTTTATTTTTGAAGAGCTTCCTGTTCCTTAATAAAATGAATGATTTTAATTTTATTGTGGATATTTTGGGTATTATATTTTGAGAGGTTAATTTTATTTAAATCTCCAGTTTAGCAGATTCTATTACTGCCATGTGGGTGTAAGACCCCAGTTTTCCTGTTTGGTCCTCACAAGTATCACAAGGAAATGGAAAGATAGATGTCTTGTTACTTCAAAACTCTAAGTTCCTCATCTGACTTGTTTTTATCAGGGAGAGTGAAGGGTAGTCATGTTTTTAGAATGATGTTTTCTTACAGTAGGTAAGACATTGTTTAAAAAGGTTTTGGCCTTGTTAGGCTACTCTTTTCCTAGACATTGGGGTATAGAAAGTGGTCTCCACTTGGGATTTTCTTTTTTTAACTGAATCGCATATCAATTTTGAGTTGCAATTCTCTCCAGTGCTTCCATCCAAGGAATACAGAGGTCAAAAGATAGCCCAAAGAACATACCTTTGTGTCATTCTGTGAGTCCTGACACTGCTAGTCATATAAACTTCTTTATATCTTTCAGTCTTTTTATTTTTATCTTTTTTGCATTATGTCTAATATTTTGAGATTTGCTTAACAAAAGGAATAGGTAGAAACATTTTTCCTTATGTTGTCTATAACAGGAAGTCAGGAATTTCCTTTAACATTCTATACATGTGAATAGAATATGTTCAAGTTAATTTTTCTTTTGTGATATAAATGAAAATGAAGAAAAATAGGAACCTAACAAACTTTACCATATGCTGTATCTAAAAAAAAAATTAAAAAAAACTTACTCTGTCATAGCTATCTGTCTGTTCAGTCTATTTTCATTAAGAAAGACATTTCTTGGATACTACAAAGCAGACATATTGTTAATGTTTCATGTGTACCTTAAGTGAGAAAAAAAGACCTTACAAATGTAATTCTCAGCTTAAATGATTAAAATGTATTTCAGGAATCATTTCTTCATCAGAAGTCACAAGTTTTGATAGTATATAATGTACTGTATTTGTATTTGCCTTGTTACCTTTATTTTAACCTGTATAATGATTTGCTCTTTCAATACATCAAATAATCCTTTTTTAGATTCTGAAGGAAAATGTGGGACCCCTCCACCTATTCACAATGGAGACATTACTTCATTCCCCTTAGCGGTATATGCTCCATATTCATCAGTTGTGTATCAATGCCAGAATTTATATGAACTTGAGGGTAACAGGCAAATAACATGTATAAATGGAAAATGGTCAGAACCACCAAAATGTTTAGGTAAGTACTTTAAGATTGTCACAGATACTGAAAAAAAATCAATGTAATGAGTATAATATTTTCTGTTTATCTTATAATTTTTTATAAGATTAACAAACAATTTTGCCTAATGCTTGCCTACCAAATATTTATATGTGAGAAAGTATAGTTTAGATAATTCTTTATTATTTTATCTTGCGTATTTGATTGACAAATAAAAATTATATAGCTATGTTTTACAATATAATAATTATATCAATTTATAATTGTTTTACAATGTAATAATTAAATCAATTTATAATTTATAATCATTGCATTGATTACCAAGATCAAATTATTGACCCATATCATCACCCATGTTTGTGTATGTGGGTGAGGCTTGAACACTTAAAGTCAGCTCTCTTATCGAATTTCAAATAAGCAATACCATATTTTTGTTGTTGATTTTTGGGAGTTTTTTGTTCTGTCTTGAAGACATGATCTTGCTCTGTTGCCCAGCCTGGAGTGCCATGGCATAATCAGAGCTCACTGCAGCCTGGAACGGTTGGGTCGAAGTAGTTTTCCTGACTTGAAGTGATTCTCTCACCTCAGCATCTGGAGTAGCTAGAACTACAGGGAAATGTCATCGTGTCTGGCTAATTTTTAAATTTTTTTTGTAGAGACAGAGTCTTACGATGTTTCCTAGACTGGTTTCGAACCCTTGCCCCAAGTGATCCCTCTGCCTTAGCCTCCAAAAGCACTGAGCTTATTGGTATGAGCCATCACACTCAGCCTAACACAGTATTGTTAACTACAGATGTCATGTTGTACATTATATTCCAAGACCATATCCATCTTATAACTGAAAATTTGTAACCTTTCACCTACATCTTAATCCAACAAAAGCAGCAGTGGTAGGTTCTAAAATGCAAAGATCTTAATATGATAATTGATGCTACGAATTTTTGAGAATAACATAATTATTGTACATTAAACATGATACTTCATTTTTATATCATTTGACATTTTAGCTTTACTTAAGTCTATATGATGTCTTTACAGGCTGGTTTGGAAATGGTTTTAAGAAAGAATCCCTGAACCATTGCAGAATATTTTACTTGAAAATCTGCACATCTATGAAGTTTTGTACATTACTTAATATTATTTTTTTCTACTTTCAGCTCCATGTGTAATATCAGAAGAAATTATGAGACAATATAACATAACACTTAGGTGGCGAGCACATCAAAAACTTTATTCCAGATCTGGTGAAGAGGTTGAGTTTCTTTGTAAAGAAGGATATAATCCACAAACATCAAAACTATCATTTCGAACAATGTGTCAGAATGGGAAACTTGTGTATCCTGGCTGTAAACAAAATAAGAGAAGGTGGGGATAGGTCAATTCTTCAGACGTACACAGTTGTTCAGAGTTTTCATTATTAATATAGTTTTCAATTTTGTCAGGTATCGTTTAAATAATTTTTATTGTTAAATAAAAATCTATGTTGATTTGTGATAATGTAATCGTTGCCTGACACCAATGCCTCACTTCTTAAATCACCATATCCAAACCTGGCAGACCAATATGCTATGTGTCCAATTTATAAAATATTTAAGGCAATAAATTAGATGCAATTTTTTCAGAGTCTGTTTCTACCTATCACACTCCTAATCCTCTTAAAAATGTCTATATTGCTTCTGAGGCTCTCTGTTTCACATCAAATGGAAAAATATTGTGATCTTAATCTTTGAAATTGTATTACTTCGCAAACATGTAAAAACCAAACTAAGCCATACTTTATGTTAGTAATAAGTTATTACTACTTATTATTGTTAAATAAATGCATCAATATATAAATTTCTACAGGATGTCAATCTAGCACACTTAGCAATGCAAACTCATCATAAAAATTTTGTTTACCAATTATAAAATTTACTTAGGTCTGTAACTATCACTACATAAACATACGAAATTATAAAAGTTCAATATCAGTCATAACACACCCATCTATGCATGCATACACACATACACATATATGATATTTTGTGCCCTGAATTGATGTTTATAAAAAATATTGGCAGATAATTCAATAAAATAGATAAAATACTATATTTGTGTTTAGTAAGAACAAAGTTTAATAAGGTTCTTTGTTTAACAAGGACAAAGTTGTTTAACTTTTTTTATATATTGATAGACTCTAATATTTCTACATTAAACATATATCAGTTTTGAACCACAATAATATTTTACTATAAAATAAAGATGTTTAAAATTCAAGACAATGCATGTTGAGAACTATAAATACCTACTTGGTCATGAACTTAAGGTCAAATAATATTTTTACCTTTCTAGGTGTAGAAGAGTTTTGAAAATTTTGATAAGATTATGAAATATAATTTCTATGTTCATTTATTTCAACCAGTATTACTTAGATAAACCACTTTTGAATAGAAACATTTTTAATTTCTAAAAGAGGTAAAAAATCTATGTAAAAATAAAGATATGAATAACAAGATAAAATTTTTATCATACTAATTTATAACTTCTTATTGTATAAAATCTGCTGGCTTATATACTGAAGCCATCCCCTTGTTAATGATCCTGATTTAGATAAATTGGTTGAGTTGGGCAAAACCAGATATCTCAAACTTTAAGGACATTCACTATAATTGGCAAGCTTTCTTTGTAGCAGTGTTAACACTTATGAAGATACTTGTATGAGAATGCTTGGACCATTATAATAAATTACTATAAATTAAATGACTGCATAAGCAAATTTAATTTATATAGTTCTAGAGGCCGATATGTCCAAAATTAACATGCTAGCTGATTTGATATCTGGTGATGTTTCCATGTTTCATAGATAGTACCTTCTCTCTATGTCTTCACAATGTGGAAAGGGCAAGGAAATTCCATGAGGTTTCTTTGTAAGGGAACTAACCCAATTCAGGAGGGATGAACACTCATCGTCAGATCACCTACAGGCCTCATTTTCTCATGCCATCACCATATTGATTAGGATACACTACATGAATTTTGGAGGGACACTAACATTCAAACATAGCATAGCATAGGGATGGAAAAAAACACTCCATGCGAGGAAATAACAAAAGAAAGCAGGGGTAGCTGTACTCATATCACACAAAATAAATTTATTTTTATTTTTTAGTTTTTTATTTATTAATTTTTTTATAATCAATATTTTTTATTATGGTGATATGGGGTACAGTTAAGGGTTAGGTATACAAATACGTTTCATTCAGGCACCCTATTGATAAGAGGTGCTTCCCCATCCCCAGACAGATATTTGCTACCATTAATCCCATCTCCCTCCCCCCCTATAGTTTCCCACTACTGTCAGTCATTTTCTTATAGTATTAGGTTGGATGTTCAAGGTCCATTATATGAGTGAGAACATGTGATACTCGGACCTTTGTTTTTGTGAGAAATCACTAAGTATTATAGACTCTATTTCCATCCAGGTTGCTGTGAAATTCATGATTTTGTTCTTTTTTATGGTTGCGTAGTACTCCATCATGTATATGTACCACATTTTTTAAATCCAGTCCTCTTTTGATGGACAGCATGG